TATATATACACACACACATACAGTATATATTTTGAAAATATTTACATGTATATATTTATATTCATATAATTTATTATATATTAATATATAAACATAACATATTTTTCGGAAATATATACAGTGGCATGCGAAAGTTTGGGAACCCCTTGCAGAATCTGTGAAAATGTGAATAATTTTGACAAAATAAGAGAGCTCATACAAAATGCATGCTATTTTTTATTTAGTACTGTCCTGAATAAGATATTTTACATAAAATATGTTTACATTTAGTCCACAAGAAAAAAAAAAATAGCTGACATTTTTAAAATAACCCCATTCTAACATTTGGGAACCCTTGGTTCTTAATACTGTGTGTGGTTACCTGGATGACTGTTTTTTTATGTTTTGTGATGGTTGTTCATGAGTCCCTTGTTTGTTCTGAATAGTTAAACAGCACTGTTCTTCAGAAAAATCCTCCAGCTCATGCAGATTCTTCCGTTTTCCAGCATCTTTTGCATATTTGAACTCTTTCCAGCAGTGACTGCATGATTTTGAGATCCATCTTTTCACACTGAGGACAACTGAGGGACTCAAACTATTAAAAAATATTCAAACATTCACTGATGCTCCAGAAGGAAACACGATGCATTAAGAGCCTTTTGAACAGTATGAAGATGTCCAAATTTTTCTTATTTTGTTGAAATATCTTTTTTTTCCATTTAGTACTGCCCTTCAGAAGCAACAGAAGATACTTGCATGTTTCCCGGAAGACAAATTAAGTTCAATTTACCTTGATCTTCAAATTCAAAAAGTTTTCACCCCCCGGCTCTTAATGCATCGTGTTTGCTTCTGGAGCATCAGTGAATATTTGAACCTGGAGGATTTTTCTGAAGAACAGTGCTCAGTTTAAAGCTGGAGTCCGTAACTTTTTTTGGTTAAAAATGATCCTAAATCAATATTTGAGCAAGTACATAACCAGCCAGTGTTCGAAACAATCGCCTTACTTTAGCCCGATTCACAATGGTAAGCTTATAATAATGTTTTCTAATTTGAGTGGTATGGGTAGGTTTTCGCAGGAAATTCGAGCATGGCACTGCGTTATTACATCACGTCTGTAAACATGAAGTTGTCCCGGCTAGTAGGCATGTGAGGATCCTGCAGGTGGAGGATCATTTATAGTCTTTTCTCACAGCAGCTGGAACATTTAAATGTCAAAAAATAATTTTGATGGCGGATTGTAATACAGAAAGGATTATATGAAACACATGTGAATGAAATTAAATTATATTCCAGTTTTAAATGTGTTTCTGATTACAGATAGCCTACACAAGATTTGTATTTTAAAGAAAACCAGTTCGAAGGGAGCATAGTTTGCTTTTTGCATTAAAAGAATTTCTTTGGTATGAAATTCGAATGGTATGACAATTAGATTAGACTGTACACAAATATAAATCTACACATTAATACACACTATACTCATAGTCACCAATGCTGATGTTGTTAACATTAATAATCTGAGAATAAAGTATAACAATAATAATAATTTGCATGGTTTGATGTGATATGAGCTAACCGATCTTTAGATTAAGAGCCTTTTGAACAGTATGAAGATGTCCAAATTTTTCTTATTTTGTTGAAATATCTTTTTTTTCCATTTAGTACTGCCCTTCAGAAGCAACAGAAGATACTTGCATGTTTCCCGGAAGACAAATTAAGTTCAATTTACCTTGATCTTCAAATTCAAAAAGTTTTCACCCCCCGGCTCTTAATGCATCGTGTTTGCTTCTGGAGCATCAGTGAATATTTGAACCTGGAGGATTTTTCTGAAGAACAGTGCTCAGTTTAAAGCTGGAGTCCGTAACTTTTTTTGGTTAAAAATGATCCTAAATCAATATTTGAGCAAGTACATAACCAGCCAGTGTTCGAAACAATCGCCTTACTTTAGCCCGATTCACAATGGTAAGCTTATAATAATGTTTTCTAATTTGAGTGGTATGGGTAGGTTTTCGCAGGAAATTCGAGCATGGCACTGCGTTATTACATCACGTCTGTAAACATGAAGTTGTCCCGGCTAGTAGGCATGTGAGGATCCTGCAGGTGGAGGATCATTTATAGTCTTTTCTCACAGCAGCTGGAACATTTAAATGTCAAAAAATAATTTTGATGGCGGATTGTAATACAGAAAGGATTATATGAAACACATGTGAATGAAATTAAATTATATTCCAGTTTTAAATGTGTTTCTGATTACAGATAGCCTACACAAGATTTGTATTTTAAAGAAAACCAGTTCGAAGGGAGCATAGTTTGCTTTTTGCATTAAAAGAATTTCTTTGGTATGAAATTCGAATGGTATGACAATTAGATTAGACTGTACACAAATATAAATCTACACATTAATACACACTATACTCATAGTCACCAATGCTGATGTTGTTAACATTAATAATCTGAGAATAAAGTATAACAATAATAATAATTTGCATGGTTTGATGTGATATGAGCTAACCGATCTTTAGATTAAATCACCATTGGTAGCACGATTTATCGTAATGCTGTTTTCCTCAGTTGGTCAGAACAAATGTGGCAGACTAGTTACTTACTTGTTCAGATGGCAATATATGGTGAAAATTCTTATTTGGGTCATGGATTCCAAGACGTAGGCTAGAATCTGTGATTACTAAGTATAGGATTCACATCGGTGCGGTGACTGACTGCCACACATACTCCTCAAAACATTAGATTCATCCGCGCTGGAGCCGTGCCAGAGTACAACCCACACAAGGAAGAAACTTCCGCAAGTAACTGCAATTCCAGGTTTTCAAACAGAGATGGCGACAAAGAGGCAAAACTTACGGACTGCAGCTTTAACTCCAGTCATAGATCATCCAGGTAACCACACACAGTATTAAGAACCAAGGTTTCCAAACTTTTGAATGGGGTATTTTAATAATTTCAACTATTTTTTTTCTTGTGGATTAAATGTAAAAAAAATGTATGTAAAATATCTTACTCAAGACAGTACTAAATAAAAAAATAACATGCATTTTGTATGATCTCTCTTATTTTCTTAAAATTATTCACATTTTGACAGATTCTGCAAAGGGTTCCCAAACTTTCGCATTCCACTGTATATATATATATACACTGCCGTTCAAAAGTTTGGGATCAGTAAGACTTGAAATGTTAAAAAAAAAAAAGTATCTTATGCTCATCAAGGCTGCATTTATTTGATCAAAAATACAGAAAAAATTGTAATCTTGCTAAATGTTATTACAATATAAAATAATGGTTTCTATTTTAATATCCTTTAAAATATAATTTATTTCTGTGATGCAAAGCTGAATTTCCATCAGCATCATTACTCCAGTATAAAGTGTCAAATGATCCTTCAGAAATCATTCTAATATGCTGATTTATTATTATAATTATCAACAGTTGTGCTACCAAATATTTTTTTGGAAACTGCTATACTTTTTTCAGGATTCTTTGATGAATAAAAAGTTAAAAAGAACAGCATTTATTCAAAATATAAATCTTTTCTAACCATATAAATCTTTGCTATCACTTCTTAATGACTTAACACATCCTTGCTGAATAAAAGTTTTAATTTCTTTCAAAAAAAAGAAAGAATAAAAATTTACTGACCCCAAACTTTTGAACTGTAGTGTATATTGTTCGAAAATATTTCTATTTTAAATAAATGCTCTTCTTTTTAACTTTTTATTCATCAAAGAATCCTGAAAAAAAGTATCACAGGTTCAAAAAAAATATTAAGCAGCACAACAGTTTCCAGCACTGATGATAAATCAGCATATTAGAATGATTTCTGAAGATCATGTGACACTGAAGACTGGAGTAATGATGCTGAAAATTCAGCTGCGCAACACAGAAATAAATTAGATTTTAATGGATATTAAAATAGAAAATCTTTATTTTACATAATAATATTTCACAATATTACGTTTTTCCTGTATTTTTGATCAAATAAATGCAGCCTTGATGAGCATAAGAAACTCCTGTAAAAAAACATCGTTGTGATCCCAAACTTTTGATCGGTAGTGTATATATCATGCATATTTAGTTTAAATGACACTAGAGAGCTTATATTCAAATGCAGGTGTTGCCAAAGCTACAGTAGTGTGCAAACTCTGTGTGGAGATTGTAGCCTTAACGGAGCTGAGAAAGTCTCTTTCATTCATCTCTTCTCCCTCTTTTGACATTTTCCAAATTTCTTCTTGTCGCTTGTTAAGTCATAGCATGGGATTTTATTTGAGAGTGATCTTATTTGTGATTGCGCATTTGTGTGGAGGGTCGTGTAAATTTTCCGACATCCTCTGGTAAATTTTTTTGTTATATATATATATATATATATATATATATAGTACATACTGTATATTAGTATTTATCTCAGCTTGTGGAAAGACTACTTGTGATTAAATTTGGATTCATCAAATGGCTTTTTCATTACCACCTATGTTTTAAGGTGGTTATAATTATATTATAAAGGTAAAACACAAATTTGAGTAATTTGGTATATTATCATCATTTCAGTTAATGAAATGTTTTTACTGTAAATTTAAGTTCAATCTCTAAAACGTAAAATATTGCTACAAAAGTTCAAACAACCATAGCTGTCAGATTTTTGCCTTAAAGTTCACCGATTTTTACTGTGTTGCTATGTAGCTTCTGTGTGGTTGTTCACATGATGCAGTGCAGTTGCTGAGGTGATCTGTGTGGCTGCTAGAGCATTGCTGTGCAGTTGGTAGGGTGGGAATTTGCTTACTAGCCAAATATAAAAGAGTCTCTCATGTCCATGGCTGAAACATTTCAAAACCAGTTACAAGTCTAACATGCTTTGCTTGGCTTAGCAAATACCATTAAATAAAATAGAGCCAAAATATATATGGCATGCTGCTTTACCTTAAGTGTACTTCAATATTTTTTTGCCTCTGTGAAATGTATTTCTTTTAAAACCCTAAAATGTTTAGTAATAAGCACACCTGCATTCCGGTGAGGGCAGTCTGAGCCAGTTTAGTGTTTTTAGACTCCAGTGCCAACTGAAGAGGGAATACACACTTCTCTCTGCACAAAAATAGTTCACACTTAACACACCAGAACATGAAAGATACGACTCATGAAGACTTTGCATTGAAGCATTTTCTAATGTCACTCTTACTCCCTCTGATAAATCAGAGATCATCTGGATAAAAGCATCTGCTATATCAATACATATAAATAAATATAAGATAGTAACCCATTTCAAAGATGTTATGTAAGGAGAATATTTAGTCATTTTAATACTTTAATGCGTTTTCGCTGTGTACAGATGAAAGGTTTAAGAATAACGAATGCTATGCAAAACTTATATGTCTAAAAAGAATTATGTCTGTGTGGATCATGAAGATTGTGTGAGAATGTACAGTATGTCCAAGAAAAACACTGGCAATATAATATTGTATATGGAATCAAAACACTTGCCTGAGTTTAAATGATGGTATCTTAACTGATCCATTCTGAGCCTGAAGGGTCTCTGTACAACCGCAGGGAAAATGAGAGAAAAAAAAGGTTATTTAATATTTCAAAAATAGAAAACAGATATCGGAAAACATCTAAACGGTAAGAAAACAAATTAAACAACACAAACAAATTATGATCCTTTAAATATGAATAAACATACTTTGAAACCCCATCATTTCTAACCATTCAAAAAAGTGAAACAAAATTAAACAGAAATCCCAACAACCTCACATTAGAAAACTATTCTAGATCAGGCCTTGCTATACTGTCATCTGACTGAGCTATTCATTGATCCTGTAAAACGAGCCAGAGTTACAGCACAGCATCCCTTTGGCCCTTCTCGTTTGTTGGCACAGCATGACTGACAGTCATGTGAGATATGCAATGCAGAAACACTGAGAGGTCAACTGAGTTCTTGAAGCTCTGCATCATCTTAAAGGTGACATATCATGAAAATCTGACTTTTCCAGGTTTTAAAAGGGTCCTATTATGCTCTTTTACAATGTCTTGAATTTGTTTTGGTGGTGTACTAGAACATGCTTTCATGCTTGGTGGTTCGAAAAACGCATTCTTTTTTACATAATTTACATTATTACAATACCTTTCTCCCCATCCTGGCACAAACAGCTCGATTAGTTCCAGGTTTGATGAAGGTCCGCCTTCCGAAAAACGAATTGTGATGTGATTGGTTAGCTGTCCCAGTGCGTTGTGATTGGCGAACAGCTTAGACGGTGTTTCAGTACTGCCACGCCCCTTGCCAAAGCAGCAAGTTCCGTCTGCTCCGGTTTAGTTAAAGCTGCAGTCCGTAACTTTTTTTGGTTAAAAATGATCCGAAATCAATATTTGAGCAAATACATAACCAGCCAGTGTTCGAAACAATCGCCTTACTTTAGCCCGATTCACAACGGTTAGCTTATATTAATATTTTCAAATTTGAGTGGTACGGGTAGGTTTTCGCAGGAAGTTCGAGCATAGAACTGCGTCATTAAGTCACTTCTGTAAACATAAAGAAGTTGTCCCGGCTGCTAGGCTATCGCATGTGAGGATCCTGCAGGTGGCCGATCATTTATAGCCTTTTCTTACAGTAGCCAGAATAATTAAATGTATCATTTTGATGGCAGATTGTAATCTAGAAAGGATTATGTGTTTATGAAACTATAAATGAAATTATATTCCAGTTATAAATGTTCTTCTGATTACAGATAGCCTGGGATTACAAAGATTTGTATTTTAAAGAAAACCAGTTCGAAGGGAGCATAATTTGCTTTTTGGGTTAAAAGAATTTCTTAATATGAAATTCGAAGAGTATGACAATTAGATTAGACTACAGAAATTGAAATCTACACGCTAATACATACTCATAGTCACCAATGCTGATGTTGTTAACATTAATCATTTGAGAATAAAGTATAACAATAATAATAATTTGAACGGTTTGATGTGATATGAGCTAACCGATCTTTAGATTAAATCACCATTGGTGGCGAGATTTATGGTAATGCTTTTTTCCTCAGTTGGTCAGAACAAACGTGGCAGACTTGTTACTTACTTGTTCAGATGGCAATATACGGTGAAAATTCTTATTTGGGTCATATTCCAAGACTAGGATCAGAATCTGTGATTGCGAAGTACAGTAAATATCCACACCGGTGCGGTGACTGACTGCCACACATACTCTTCAGAACATTAGATTCATCCGCGTTGGAGCCACGCCGGCGCACAGCCCACGCAATCTAGATAATTCCGCAGACAGCTGCAATTCCAGGTTTTTAAACAGAGATGGCGACAAAGAGGCAAAACTTACGGACTGCAGCTTTAAGGATGGCGTCAATATTGCCATATCAATTTGAGGCGGATTCAGACCCAGAGAATATTAAAGAAGAGGTTCGCGCAGAACCTTTGCACAAACGGATATTGCAAGACATATTAGAGTGGTAACGTTATTGTTGTTGTTGTTTTTTTGGCTAAATCACGTTTTAGATAGGATGTCAACAACCACTTAAAAATAACTGCATTTACTATGTACAGATAAGTGCATATGTATTATTTTTATTGTTATTTAATTCTAACATTATAACATGAATAGCAGTGAAACTGTTATACAGTTGAATTTATTTATAGCATAATCCAGTGTTTCCCAGGCGGCATATATATGCAAACTCTTTCTCTGGCAGCAGGAGGCGCTGTTGGAGTGGTAGAGATCAAGGCTTCCCCGGTAACGGCTGTACACAAAGCAGTGCTCCACTCAAAAAAACACTGCTTATCAGACATTACATGCAAGATTAAATGAAAATGACATCCAATTTTCTGAAGACAGTCGGTTTCCTGTGATATAAAAACACCCGCAGTGGGAAACACTGTAGTCTCATAATTGAAGTGTAAATTCTGCAGATTACATCATTGTTCAGTATTGTACTGTCAGCAATTTATTATAAAAACGTTTTCATAACTGTAACATACATATTTACATACATAAATATTCAGGTGCATGTGTAATAATGGCCCTATTCCCACCCCCCAACCATTCGAATTTCCGTAGGTGGGAATTATTTTAATGATATTCTAATGGGCTGCTTTGTGATATCACAAAACCCCGGAAACCAACGCTGTAGTCCAAACGAGCCCTTCGTTGTAGTTCTTGAAAAGGGATTTTTTTAAAAATTAAATATCTCCCTTTGAAGTGGACTTTGATATTTGTACGTTTGAAGATCTTTTTTATGCCCAAACATACACACTACACACTGACTAAAATTCAAAAAGTGAAAAAGCATAATAGGACCCCTTTAAGTGCTATAATCTGGTCCCCGGTGCATCTACCAAACAAGGAAACATGAAAAAGATCAACCCAGTAACTTTGTTTTGGGGAGCCTTTTTCTGCAAGCGTCTGAACAAACGAGCGTGTCTGATTTCGCTCCCTTGGTGACGTGGCAAAGGGATCTCATTATAATATTACCGCCCCTTAATCTGTAAGTTTCCACCCACGGCGCAGTCATTTGATTTTGCAAGCGACAACGGTGTACCAGCTCTAATGGCATGGCGAAAGCTTGAGCAAAACATGCTAACTGTTCTGTCTTTGGCTGCACAGACGAGCACAGAACACTCTTTAGAGAGACAACAATACTACAGCGAGAATCATAGTTACGCCTTCTTTCTTTGCGTGAACATTTGGGCGGCGTTATGCAAATCTTCCCACATAGTGAGGTAGATATGTGGGGGCGTGTTAGAACGAGACATTTTAGGTAGGCGTGGTTGACTCTTATAACATAACTTTTATAAAGAATATCTCTTTGGATTTGAGACTTTAGTCTTTGCAACTAACACTCCAAAGAGAAAGGAAAAATTGAAATCGCATCATATGACCCCTTTAACATAAACTTGTGTGTGAATGAGAACTTAGTTTTGTACTCACATGCTGTGACAGCCACTTTCTGTCCGTGTGCTTCGGATGTGTGCGCTCAGAAAACCGTATAACAGAAGTTTAAACTAATATGGTTTAAAACGCATGATTTAGGGGGCGATAAACATGATAATCAGAACCAAAACAGATGTTTTTTTAACAGGTCCCAGCTGTAATAGCCCAGCTCTATTCTGGAAAAGGGGCAGGGAGCAGCAGCTCATTTGCATTTAAAGAGACAGGCACAATAAAAAACAGTGTGTTTCTGCTTCCACTCAAAATAGGCTTTTTCAAACTTCAGACACATTATGGGGACACCAGAGACTTATATTACATATTGTAAAAAGGGGCATAATATGTCTCCTTTAAACTATAGTATGGCATGGAATTAGAGCTGCTTTTGCTCATCCACTAAAAGCCTATTAGTTAAACACAATACAAGAACACAGAATAAGAAGAAGCCTAGAACATCTACAACACTTTAAACACTTCTATATTAATGATTACAATAAATACAGTGGTGTGAAAAAGTGTTGGCCCCCTTCCTGATTTCTTATTTTATTGCATGTTTGTCACACTTTAATGTTTCAGATCATCAAACAAATTTAAATATTACACAAAGATAATGCAAGTAAATACAAAATGCAGTTTTTAAATGATGATTTCATTTATTATGATTGTCCCACTCGTTAGCTTGGAGGACAATGAGAACGATCGGGAGATAGACGATCTACTGACGTACTTCCAGCAGCAGCTGACGCTGTGCGACGGCACCATGAAGCTGTGTGAGCCTGAGACAGACTCCACTCTGGTGCACATCTCGGGTAATCCTCACGCTGGAGCTAGTCTGTGTGGATTTCTAGAGTTTACCCGTTGCCCTAAAAGCCCCTTCTTTCACCTCCACAGCTTTGCCCTTCGAGGTGCTCATGTATATCTTCCGTTGGGTGGTGTCATGTGACCTGGACCTTCGAGCCCTAGAGCAGCTTTCCCTGGTTTGCAGGGGTTTCTATATCTGTGCCAGGTGGGCTCACACACTCAGCAGACACCAGCGTAAACCAGCTTCCCCACTAGCACTATAGCGGCTTGTGCTCAAGAACAGCACTCAGATTTTAAGCATTAAAAATTCAGTTTGCCATGTTTTTGTGGGTGTCTTGTTTCAGGGACCCTGAGATTTGGCGATCTGCCTGTTTGAGGGTGTGGGGGCGGAGCTGCACCAAAATGCTGCCATTTTCATCCTGGAGAGAGATGTTTTTGGAAAGGCCACGTGTACGCTTTGATGGTAAATGCGTGTGCTTCTCTATGTCTTCTTGAATATGTGCTGCTTGTACAGTGTTTAATAAATGTCCATGGTTTGTGCAGGTGTTTACATCAGTAAAACCTCATACATCCGTCAGGGGGAAGAGTCTCTCGATGGCTTCTACAGGGCTTGGCACCAGGTGGAGTACTACAGGTGAGCTTGGGGCTTTAAAGGGGTACTCCACTCAAAAATCTAAATTCTGTCAGCATTTACTCAACACCATGTGGTTCCAAACCTGTATGCATTCCCAGTGTTTCCCCACAGGGCTTTGTTAAGACTATGGACCTTTGTCTCTCTGGGGTTATCTGGGGTCATGCACCCCTGGATGAAAATATTGACATTCTAAAGTTAAATGCATGAATCTGTTGCACTTTGAAAGCAAAATTAAGAACTCCAACACATTTTCAGTGACCAAATTGAATAGAGTAAAAAAAAGTGGTTGCATTGGCTTGGATTTTAAAGTGGACTCAAACCGCTTTTAGTTGCGAAAGTGTCTGTTCACATTGCATTCACACTGATGTTTTTAGAAGTCAAACAAATATTATAATAATACCTTTAATAATAAAGACAGTAATATTATTGTAATACAACTGCACTGTAAAGTAAACATAAAATAAATACTTCATAAATCATAGTAAGTATATTACATTTGTTTTATAGAAAAATTACAATATTTGTATTAATTTCTTCACTTGTAGTTTAACCGTCCGGCTTTTATTTTGACACAAAAATGCCGTTTCTGTGAAAAAAGCTCGAAGGAGTACACATTTTTCTTTCAAACTCGCAGCATGAAAGACTAAAAAGACTAAATAATTAAATAATTAGTTTAATAAGCACATTAAGCTATATTGATTTTGATTTTAGTTTAATTAACAGATGTTTGCCAAAGTAGTGGTGAAAAACAATGTTAGAGACCTTTTATATTATTAAATTAATATTTATTAAATATTTTCAGTTCATTATGAAACTGACAGAGGTGATTCATGGGAAACAGTGCATTTGTTCTGTAGACACACAAAATAAGATATTTTGCGGAAAGTCAGGAACCCATTAACAATGGATCCCATTAATTTCTGTTTTATGGAGAAAAATAAAATCTTTTACTTTCCACAGAAGAAAGTCAAGTTTGGAACAACATAAGGAGTAAACGTGCACAGAATTTTCTTTTTTGGGTGGAGTATCCCTGTAATGGCCCTGAACAAAATCTGTTTTGTTCAGTGTTATCAGGCTTTGACGAGACCTGATCTTTTAGGTACCTGCGCTTCTTCCCTGATGGTCAGGTGATGATGTTGACCACACCCGAGGACCCTTTGGTCACTGTCCCAAGGCTGCGCAGCAAGAACTCCAGGTACGTGTTATGGGCCTAAATAACAGACCTCTGCTCTGAATTTAACTTGGCTGACAGCACATTTCTAGGCCATGTGCCATCTTTAAATCATTAAAGGGCACATCGGATGCCCATTTTCCACAAGTTGGTATGATTCTAGGGTCTTCATGAAATGTCTGCAACATACTTTGGTTAAAGTTCCTCAATGGTCGAGTAAAACGACACCCTTTTTACCTTGTCAAAAACAGCTCTGTTCACAGCGAGCCGTTTCGGTGCATGTCTCTTTAAATGATAATGAGCTACTGCTCACCCCGCCCCTCTCTTTCGTTTTTTGTGTATTCGGTGGTGCGTTAACATCAACAACAAAACGAATCCACTGTGTCCTCAGTGGCTCTGATGTCGGGAGAAAATTAAGACTTTTATGTTCACTTTTACACCCAACTACAAAACACCTGCATTGCTTACAAGTCATTGTTGTTGCTACAAGAAAGTAGCCTAAATAAGAAAGTTAAATACACCCTGTCTACAGGACGCGGCACGACAAAATACTTTAAAACTCATAATCAGTAATGCTACACTGGATGCGACATGTCACGACATGACAAATCCCCGACAGTAAACTGCCTCGTTCTATTTATGAGGTACTGACACGGAGTTCAAATGTCCTGTGTAGACACTAGACAGACTCAACCTGTTGTGGCGGTGTCGTGTCCGGTGTAGACACGGTTCACTGTTCCACTAATGTTATTACACTTGTATACAAAACTTTGTATTATGCTTGTTATAGAGTGCGTGACGTCACGTGCACTACCGCCGGTGGCAGTAGACAACCGCGGTGGTCGTGGCGCGGTTGTCACGGCGACCGTCACAGCCCTAATTATAGGGTGCTTGTGTCCACGCTGCTAAGACACATTTATGTGCAAACTGAATTTTGCATCCGATTTCCCCTTTAAAAATCTTCAATTTCCACAGGATGGACTCCATCATGTTTGGCCATTATCGGCTGTCCCAGGATACGGACAATCAAACCAAAGTTTATGTTGTTGTCTCCAAGAGAAAAGAAGAGGTTGGTTTGCCTGTTCGTGTTTACAGACCCTTTTCTTTAACAGCACTGTGCTATTTCTTTGCCGTTTTACTAGCATTGAACCAATGTTTTGTCATCTTCCAGCAAAAGGTGGCAGAGTACCAGAGGAGCCGGTTCTGCAGGCGGAACCCAGCCCCCGAAGCGGAGCGCGCCTTCCATGTAGGACTGCAGCTGTCCTCTGGGGGGCGTCAACGCTTCAACAAGCTGGTGTGGATCCACCATTCCTGCCACATCACCTACAGGTGTCTCACCAATCTGCATTCTCCAACACATCTGACGAGTCCGAATGAAATTCCTCCTGCTGTCTGTTCACACAATCAATGAGGACGCATTAGCACATCACCTTGAACGAGATGCTGATCAGATGCTTAAAGGAATTAGGCTATCCTAAAATTCAGAAATTAACTATTACTCCCCATCATTCCAAACCTGTATGACTTAAATTTTTCTGTTGAAATATGTTCATCTTGTGACAAAAGCAAATGGGGTCAGATACTGCCAAGCTCCAACATAACACAAAAGCACCAAAAAAATCATCATAGAAGTGGTCAATATAAAAATAGAAATAAGTAGACTCTTTATACCGTATTGACCCGAATATAAGATGACCCTGATAATAAGACGACCCCCCTTTTTCCAGATGTACCTTTTGGAAAAAGGCTTTTTAAAAAACAAATCTTGTTTTTTCTCAGTAAAACACATTTTGTCTTCAATTATTTTCATATTGCATATTTTTCCTATTTTTATGTTTGTTTTGAAAGTATGGTAAAAACTGGTAAAATGTACCAACAATCACATTTTAAAAAATGTACACTTTAAAAAAACTAAAAAAAAAAAAAAAACAGGTAGCCCATCTGAATTTGGACATTTAGGCTATCCATCTAATAGTAGCCTACCAAAATCTTATTAACAGTAGAAGTTAAATCTTACTGTAGTCTTCAAATCTGGGTACTGTCTTACGTTTTAAAATCACAAAGGGAGCTTGGTGCCATCAGGCTAACGTGACAGTCACGACTCATGCAGCTGTAAGCTTTTCTTTTTCTTTTGTTTTTACTCGCGATCTTTACAACACGCATTACATTACGTATTTCATGGAACACTCGTTTTATGTGTTTTATGCGCCACCTATTGTTGTGGGTGTATTATTGACATGTCAAAGTCTAGACCCTGAATATAAGACGACCGCGTTTTTTCAGATGTATTTCCAAGAAAAAAAACATCGTCTTATATTCGGATCAATACAGTATGTAATTTTTTTTAATGATAATAAAAAACAAATGGATACAAATATGCATAAGCTGAAAACTGAGTTTGATTTAGCACTCAAATAAAAAAATTGGATGATGTTTTTATTTTATTGCATTGTTGTGTAAAGTAAGCATTTGCCGTCACGGAGTTGCCACGTTTCAGCACTTTTTTTGTCTTTTTCTCCCTTAGATCGACTGGAGAGACAGTTGTCACTGCGTTTGATGTAGACAAAATGTACACGCCTCTGTTTTTTGCACGAGTGAAGAGCTACACAGCCTTTTCAGAGCGTCCACTGTAGGACGACCCAAGCAATGCATGCAGTAACTCGACCCTTGACCCCTCAAGGTTTACACCTCACTGCCACCTCCATCTGCTCGCCCTACTACTTCCAGCCCAGGCTCTTTCTTATGAATGTAGACGAATGGTGTGACATTCTTAGATTCCTAGTCTTAACTGCAGTTCAAAGCATTATGTTTTGTTTTCACGATAGTGTAAGATCTGTCTTGCTCTTATTGTAAAGATAAAGATATTCTCTCTCTCTCTCTCTCTCTCTCTCTCTCTATATATATATATATATATATATAAGATTGTAAGAGGTTTCAAATGGACTGTGATGATGATGAATGTTCAGGTTGTTTTTGTGAATTTCAGTGAGGGAATATGTCGGCTGATGACTGGAACACCCAAATAAATGAGCTATATTGTGCTTCGCTGTCTTTTTCTTTTGTGTGTGTGTAAATTGTGTTGCTTAAGTCAAATTGAAATCAGAAAAAGAAATACCGGTCTTTGCAGTTTCATCAAAATGTTTCCTTTTGGCTGTCGTCACCTTCTCAACCGTTCTCTTTTCAACATTTTGTCTTGTTGAATATTTTGCTCTACTCAGAAATAGAAGGGAAGGGGGTTATAGGCAGATTTGTTATAACATCACTTTCAGTTTAAGTTAAGCTTGTTTTCTTTGGTGGACGCTGTATTTAAATGTCTTTGAAACAAGTACCCTTCAGAAATCAGGTCTAGAATTAAATGAAGAGGACATATAATCCAACTATAACATGCTTGGAGATTTGGGGACTGATGGGGATTTAGTTCAAGGGGAATTGTATCTGTGACAAAAAAAAGTTATCTTTTAAGTCCACTGATAAACCTTTTTTTATGCGATTATATGTTATTATTTGTTCTAGTTTGTCATAGTTATGGAAATCAGAAATATCAGGGAAGTTTACATTTGTGATTTCTAGGCCCGAAGAAGTGTTTGCACTTTCTTAGCTCTTAAGTATTTCATTGAGTAGAAACTGCTTTTCGTTTACAATGATTTTTGGGGGAAAAAACTTATCCAGGAATCACAAATGACTATAAAAGTACTGGAAATTCATTTATCAAAATGTGTGGAAACTCATCCGTTTTATTATGATTTATTATAGTAGAATAGAATTCATTTAAAGCCAATAAGAGAAACCTTTCAATATTTAAAACCTCAATATACTTGAAATCAAAAAGACAAGTGAACAAACACTGACACCTGATATATTTCCAAATAAAAATCACTTTATTGGTATTGTGTCTGATGTTAACGCCTACATCTTGTATTAACACGTGCAGTATTAATTCTGTGATACAACATTAATTCTCTACTGTGCTATTAGCAAACGGTATCTTGTGCACTGGATGAGTGGGTCTATACGGCTGCACTGAAAGCATGAATTAACAGTATTGTATAATGCAAGATATCATTACTTATCCTAAACTGAACACTAACAGGGAGAATGACTTGATTGTTAAGAAGGAATTATGATTATGAATCAGTAACAGAAGTTGCACAGCAGTATTCACTGTTTTCCTGCATTTCTATGCTTAATGGTTTAACACACATACACTATATAACAACAGGCTAGATGAAGGCAACGGTTTGTTCAAACACAAGAACAAAATTAATGTTGCTTGACCAGATCTGGAATGCTGGCACAGAGAAGGAGTGTGTTAAGCTGTTGAAACGCACTGGATGCTGATTTCTAGGTTTAGGTGACAGGGTCTAAAGAGCTGCTCACTGTGCCTGTCATGCAGCACTTACAGTGCCTCAAAAAGGGAAAAGGAAAGTGTTACAGAGTTATAAATGTGCTTTATAATTACAGTGTAAGCCACTGTTCATTGTTTTGGTAAACGTGAAAGCGATGTGCTGAACTACTGATTCGTTGTGAAATTTTTGACACCAGAAAATAAATCGGAGGCTATTCATTGCAGCAAAGAGCTCATACAAGACTAGCCAGGTGAACCGAACAGCACTGGTGAGACAGTAAATACAGTAAAGTTTTCATGTTAAAAAAAAAAAAATCTTGCAGGAATATTGAAAAATACACATACACACACACACACACACAAAAACAAAGTGTAAGTTGGGGTAAAATATAACCCGGACATGTTTTCAAGAGATTCACCTACAATACAGCACTACAACAAATTGTGCTAAATCCATGTTAATATAAAATAAACAGTCCATTTTATTCTGTAAACATACATTAATTCACTAAATTCGCTCGATTAGTCCATAAAACTAATAGTCTTCCATTTTTCTAAAGGTATTGTTATGACTGTTACGTACTGTCTTGTAAGATTATCTGCCTGTGCTATAAAGAAACATCGTATAGGCTACTACTGTTTAATTCAGCTCATAAGTGTGACATACTCCTGTATACCTGTCAAATTTCTCTAATACAATCTTCTCTATGTCTACAAACAAGCTTGGTGAAAACACCAGTGCAAATTAGTACAGTATTAAGGTTAGCCATCTTTGTTCTTCAAGAAAATGAAAAATATGAAAAACATCAAATACTCTAACTTGGACCCTACTTCCTAAGTTTTGGATTCAATATGAATAACGTGAGGTTGCAGTGTGCAAAAATGTGAGGAGACTCTTAAAGGTGAAATGGCTGTAGCGTGGTAACTAGATAGACATGCGTGAAGCTCCTCTACTGCGCTGATAACAATAACAGGACTGTAAGTGGATTAACTGTCATCAATCTGCGCGCGGTTTCCTGTATTTAACCTTCTCATTGGATGTCACTCCATTAGTGTGACCGTTTATTGATCCGTTCGAGTGATCGGTCTTCCGAGATCCCATGCGGCTCTTATAGGTCTGTGGAGCAAAGAAGGGGAACATTCTGAACAATTCTTCAAGCCGTACTTTCTTACGATAATATTCTTTATACTGAGAATTTGTTTACCTTTATGTAGAAGTTTGAGAAGAGTAAGATAAGAGTGATCATATAAGTGATTTGGAAATACAGCCAGCCCATTGGGAAACCACATGGCCAGACCACAGCACAAGATGTCTGGAACATGGTCAGGACAAACTGGACCTGCAAGAGGAAACAGCCATCAGTGATCCACCATTGATCAATCTTTTATATGAGTGATTCTTCAATTAGGTTAAATAAGCCAATACAAGTTTGCTTGAGTCCACATTCTGACAAACGTAACCATTATTTCTGTCATGACAACTCTCGGAGGGACTGGCATGGTAATGTACATGACAATGTTAATGTATTTGGTCTTGGCGGAATAGATCTGCTACGCTGCTGCTGCGGCAGAGCAAGTACCGAGACTATGAGCATGTAAGAAATACTGCTGCTGCACATATAACACATATGAATAACCCCCATATAGCATAGATGATCACCTCGTAGCAGATCTATACAGGTGGAGCTGGGGAAGGTGGAGGGTTTCTGAAGCAAGCTGCAACTGCTACGGCAAGCACTAGTCATATATTTGAATGTTGAGCAGCGATCTCATTGGCTACCGATACAGGAGAGAACCTATCAGCTGTGCCATGTGATAATGATGTCATTAGTTCAGATTGAGTTAGACCTATCGGACTGCGCCATCTAGAGTTTCATGCCAGAACTCTTCAAAATCATACTAGGAACGCATACTAGAGGATGAGAAAAGCGACCCAAATTGAAAAATTACCCATAAGTAAAAGACATTGACTGTTATGAACAAGCTGAAACTTGGTATCCTATGTTTTATCCATCCAAACCAATTAGACTTTTTGTTATATAGTAGTAAACACATTCCATTACAAGAAAGCACTTGGTATTTTAATAAAGTGAAAGGAAAAAAAGTGTAATTTTTAAGCGTCCTCAGAGAAGTTTGAAGTAAAAACGTGTACTTGCCAGCTGCCCTTGAGTGATGTACTTTTTCCACCACAGATACGGTCTCATGGCTGGGACAGCAGAGAGGCCGTAATACGAATACATCAGGACATGGATGAAGCTGTTAAACGTGGCGCCAAAATAGGCTGATGAAAAGAGCAGCAATATCAGTATTAGTTGCTGCATTTGCTTCAAATCACAAATCAACCTCTGAAGCATCAAAGTAGGTTCCCTATGATACAAATTTATATCTTTTAAAATGTACAAAAATAACTGACTATTCATGAAAATTAATAGTCAGCATTACCGATGATTGGTAACCACAATCTATTCTAAGAAGTAAATGGAGATCAACAGAAAAAACTCCTTTAAATACCACGTTGCATAATGCAAAGTTATTTAAAACCACCTGGACAAGCATTTTTACCCTGTTCTGTTTGCTTTGGTTTTATGCATCTGAAAAATTCAGCATATAAAATGCACCATAAGCTCCTTCAGAAGCCTTTGACTGCAAAACAGTGGAGTTTATTATTTGTTCTAGTTTGTCATAGTTATGGAAATCAGAAATATCAGGGAAGTTTACATTTGTGATTTCTAGGCCCGAAGAAGTGTTTGCACTTTCTTAGCTCTTAAGTATTTCATTGGGTAGAAACTGCTTTTCGTTTACAATGATTTTGCGGGGAAAAAACTTTATCCAGGAATCACAAATGACTATAAAAGTACTGGAAATTCATTTATCAAAATGTGTGGAAACTCATCCGTTTTATTATGATTTATTATAGTAGAATAGAATTCATTTAAAGCCAATAAGAGAAACCTTTCAATATTTAAAACCTCAATATACTTGAAATCAAAAAGACAAGTGAACAAACACTGACACCTGATATATTTCCAAATAAAAATCACTTTATTGGTATTGTGTCTGATGTTAACGCCTACATCTTGTATTAACACGTGCAGTATTAATTCTGTGATACAACATTAATTCTCTACTGTGCTATTAGCAAACGGTATCTTGTGCACTGGATGAGTGGGTCTATACGGCTGCACTGAAAGCATGAATTAACAGTATTGTATAATGCAAGATATCATTACTTATCCTAAACTGAACACTAACAGGGAGAATGACTTGATTGTTAAGAAGGAATTATGATTATGAATCAGTAACAGAAGTTGCACAGCAGTATTCACTGTTTTCCTGCATTTCTATGCTTAATGGTTTAACACACATACACTATATAACAACAGGCTAGATGAAGGCAACGGTTTGTTCAAACACAAGAACAAAATTAATGTTGCTTGACCAGATCTGGAATGCTGGCACAGAGAAGGAGTGTGTTAAGCTGTTGAAACGCACTGGATGCTGATTTCTAGGTTTAGGTGACTCGGTACAGGACAGGGTCTAAAGAGCTGCTCACTGTGCCTGTCATGCAGCACTTACAGTGCCTCAAAAAGGGAAAAGGAAAGTGTTACAGAGTTATAAATGTGCTTTATAATTACAGTGTAAGCCACTGTTCATTGTTTTGGTAAACGTGAAAGCGATGTGCTGAACTACTGATTCGTTGTGAAATTTTTGACACCAGAAAATAAATCGGAGGCTATTCATTGCAGCAAAGAGCTCATACAAGACTAGCCAGGTGAACCGAACAGCACTGGTGAGACAGTAAATACAGTAAAGTTTTCATGTTAAAAAAAAAAAATCTTGCAGGAATATTGAAAAATACACATATACACACACACACACACACACACACACACAAAAACAAAGTGTAAGTTGGGGTAAAATATAACCCGGACATGTTTTCAAGAGATTCACCTACAATACAGCACTACAACAAATTGTGCTAAATCCATGTTAATATAAAATAAACAGTCCATTTTATTCTGTAAACATACATTAATTCACTAAATTCGCTCGATTAGTCCATAAAACTAATAGTCTTCCATTTTTCTAAAGGTATTGTTATGACTGTTACGTACTGTCTTGTAAGATTATCTGCCTGTGCTATAAAGAAACATCGTATAGGCTACTACTGTTTAATTCAGCTCATAAGTGTGACATACTCCTGTATACCTGTCAAATTTCTCTAATACAATCTTCTCTATGTCTACAAACAAGCTTGGTGAAAACACCAGTGCAAATTAGTACAGTATTAAGGTTAGCCATCTTTGTTCTTCAAGAAAATGAAAAATATGAAAAACATCAAATACTCTAACTTGGACCCTACTTCCTAAGTTTTGGATTCAATATGAATAACGTGAGGTTGCAGTGTGCAAAAATGTGAGGAGACTCTTAAAGGTGAAATGGCTGTAGCGTGGTAACTAGATAGACATGCGTGAAGCTCCTCTACTGCGCTGATAACAATAACAGGACTGTAAGTGGATTAACTGTCATCAATCTGCGCGCGGTTTCCTGTATTTAACCTTCTCATTGGATGTCACTCCATTAGTGTGACCGTTTATTGATCCGTTCGAGTGATCGGTCTTCCGAGATCCCATGCGGCTCTTATAGGTCTGTGGAGCAAAGAAGGGGAACATTCTGAACAATTCTTCAAGCCGTACTTTCTTACGATAATATTCTTTATACTGAGAATTTGTTTACCTTTATGTAGAAGTTTGAGAAGAGTAAGATAAGAGTGATCATATAAGTGATTTGGAAATACAGCCAGCCCATTGGGAAACCACATGGCCAGACCACAGCACAAGATGTCTGGAACATGGTCAGGACAAACTGGACCTGCAAGAGGAAACAGCCATCAGTGATCCACCATTGATCAATCTTTTATATGAGTGATTCTTCAATTAGGTTAAATAAGCCAATACAAGTTTGCTTGAGTCCACATTCTGACAAACGTAACCATTATTTCTGTCATGACAACTCTCGGAGGGACTGGCATGGTAATGTACATGACAATGTTAATGTATTTGGTCTTGGCGGAATAGATCTGCTACGCTGCTGCTGCGGCAGAGCAAGTACCGAGACTATGAGCATGTAAGAAATACTGCTGCTGCACATATAACACATATGAATAACCCCCATATAGCATAGATGATCACCTCGTAGCAGATCTATACAGGTGGAGCTGGGGAAGGTGGAGGGTTTCTGAAGCAAGCTGCAACTGCTACGGCAAGCACTAGTCATATATTTGAATGTTGAGCAGCGATCTCATTGGCTACCGATACAGGAGAGAACCTATCAGCTGTGCCATGTGATAATGATGTCATTAGTTCAGATTGAGTTAGACCTATCGGACTGCGCCATCTAGAGTTTCATGCCAGAACTCTTCAAAATCATACTAGGAACGCATACTAGAGGATGAGAAAAGCGACCCAAATTGAAAAATTACCCATAAGTAAAAGACATTGACTGTTATGAACAAGCTGAAACTTGGTATCCTATGTTTTATCCATCCAAACCAATTAGACTTTTTGTTATATAGTAGTAAACACATTCCATTACAAGAAAGCACTTGGTATTTTAATAAAGTGAAAGGAAAAAAAGTGTAATTTTTAAGCGTCCTCAGAGAAGTTTGAAGTAAAAACGTGTACTTGCCAGCTGCCCTTGAGTGATGTACTTTTTCCACCACAGATACGGTCTCATGGCTGGGACAGCAGAGAGGCCGTAATACGAATACATCAGGACATGGATGAAGCTGTTAAACGTGGCGCCAAAATAGGCTGATGAAAAGAGCAGCAATATCAGTATTAGTTGCTGCATTTGCTTCAAATCACAAATCAACCTCTGAAGCATCAAAGTAGGTTCCCTATGATACAAATTTATATCTTTTAAAATGTACAAAAATAACTGACTATTCATGAAAATTAATAGTCAGCATTACCGATGATTGGTAACCACAATCTATTCTAAGAAGTAAATGGAGATCAACAGAAAAAACTCCTTTAAATACCACGTTGCATAATGCAAAGTTATTTAAAACCACCTGGACAAGCATTTTTACCCTGTTCTGTTTGCTTTGGTTTTATGCATCTGAAAAATTCAGCATATAAAATGCACCATAAGCTCCTTCAGAAGCCTTTGACTGCAAAACAGTGGAGTTTCCCTGTGAGGAGCTTACAGTGGCCACACGGCACCCAGTTCATGACAAACCACCAGATGCTGAGCATGGTGGCGTGATGGTAGACGTGCAGGAAGCTGATCTGGTGGTTGTTCTTCCTCAGAATGAAGAAGAAAGTGTCCATAAACTCAATGAGTTTGGAGAAGTAATACCACCAAAGGACGTTTATCATCTGAGGAAAGATTAAGAGAGAATCATTTACACAAGAACTTATTTAATCAGCGACGTTACAAAAATTCAACATCAGTTACAAAAGTCATGAAATCACTAGTGCAGTAATGATTCTCAGTCTACTTCGGATTTCCACTTAGGCCGTTTTTGGTCTCTAACTATACCCTTAACAAATATAATACTGCTAAAATGGACAAACTATGTCTTCTAGCATAACATCATGAAATTTTTCTTGTGAAAAAGAAGTGCTTAATTGCATTGAATGTGCACTTGTCATGTTTTTAAGTATATATTTAAAAAAATGTATTTGCAGATAATATATTAATGAAATAAAAGACCACCTAAGTGCAATCGAAAAGAGTACAATATCATGACATGCAAGTACACCTTTAAATTTTGTTTTAAAATTCTTGTTTTAATAACCTTTTGTCATGCTCTAAAGAAGTGAACTTATGTGTTGACTCGTATACTAAAGCACATATAAAGTACCTTAAATGTGCTAAATTGCAATTTCATCATTACGAATGTGTAATTACAAATGTATTTATATACATGACATACAGGTTTCAATAGAAATGAAATTATAGTATATTTTAGTTTACCGTAAATGCTTGTCTGTAGTACACTTTAAGCATATTTCAAAGGCAGTAGAAGTAATGATGTTAAATTACATATAAAGATGGACTTAAGTGGTCAGAAAGCTAATTCAGTTAGTTGTATTTAAAGGAGACATATTATGCCCCTTTTTACAATATGTAATATAAGTCTCTGGTGTCCTCAGAATGTGTCTGTGAAGTTTCAGCTCAAAATGCTCCACAGATCATTTATTATATCATTTTGAAAATGCCTATTTTGAGTGGAAGCAGAAACACACTGTTTTGCGAGCCTGTCTCTTTAAATGCAAATGAAAGCGGCTGTCACGAGTACTAAACTAAGTTCTCATTCACACACAAGTTTACATTAAAAACACACAAGAGTTACAAAACAGTCGGTTATGTCTGTGAAGATAAACTGCTGGGAAATAAATCGCATGTTTATTTTAGATCTGTATGGCAGCAGCAATATACAGTAAATAAATCAATAAATGCACTTCTCTCGTCTCCTCTGAGGCTGGGACTCTAAACAGTGTTCTGTGCTCGTCTGTGCAGCCAAAGACAGAACAGTTAGCATGTTTTGCTCAAACTTTCGCCATGGCATTAGAACTAAAACACCTTTGTCGCTTGCAAATCAAAATGACTGCGCCGTGGGTGGAAACTTCGAGATTAAGGGGTAGTAATATTATAATGAGATCAGAGCAGCCAGTCAACTGTACACTCACATCAGCCTGATGGGAAATATTGTCTCTTTTCTGAGGATTATGATCAAAGAGTAAAGCTGAATCTTAGAATTGTCCATATCTCACACAATGTAAAACTCAGCTTGTTGTTTTACCCTGTTGTCAGCCTCTCCTCCACTGTGGGTGTTCTGGCAGAAGAAGTTGTATCCGCCTTGATACACTGACATTACCAGCTGTAGAGACAGAAGGACAACAGAACGAATCATTATTCTCCACACCACTGCATATTCATCCCAATATGTAACACATTTGTGGAATTAGAACTAATGCTTGAGGATCAGTTTGGATACACTTTATTTTACAGTATGTGTACACTCTTAAAAATAAAGGTGCTTCACGATGCCATAGAAGAACCTTTTTGTCTAAATGGTTCCATAAAGAACCTTTAACATCTGAAGAACCTTTCTGTTTCACAAAAGGTTCTTTGTGGTGAAAAAAGGTTCTTCAGATTACAAAAAGGTAAGAAAGAGATGGGTCTTTAAAGAAACTTTGACTGAATGGTTCTTTGTGGAACCAAAAATGGTTCTTCTATGGCATGGCTGTGAAGAACCTTTTGAAGCACCTTTATTTTTAAGAGTGTACTTACAGCATACTTACCCAAGACAGTACTGGGTAGTATATGGTAAACATGTTTAGGGTTAGGTTTAGGGGTAGTTCAGGGTTAGTACAGTTATTGTAAATGCTATAATAAGTACACAGCATGCACATGCGGAACAGGACTGTACAATAAAGTGCTACCCAGTTTACATTGAAGGGGTGGTTGATCAGCTTTTTTCGAAAGCTTGATTGTGTTTATGGGGTGCAGTGTAACATGTGTTCATGCTTCATTTTTTTTAAAAATGCATTATTTTCACATATTTTACTTTTATTCTACACCGCTGTTTCCATTCTTGTCAAAACGGTCTGTTGAGTTCCTGGTTCTGTGAAGCCCCTCCCTCAGAAATACGCAATGGGCTCTGATTGGTTAGCGGGCTCAGAGTGTTTGTGGTTTGCTAACCGCCGAGTGCACGTTGCCCAGAATTGTCACGCCCCCTTACCATTACGGGTAGTTGCGTGTTCCCGGGGGCGGGGTTTATGTAAACATCGGAGTTAGTGATGTCACAAACCCAGGAAGAAGCTCGTTGCAGGACCTACCAGCCATTTTTTGTAGTCCTTAAACAGCAATTTCTTTAAAAGAAAATATCTCCCTTTGCATTGAACTCTGAGCATCGTAACTTTGCAGACGTTGTTTATGCTCTAACAGCAACAATACACACTAACTAAAGTTCAAAATGTGAAATCATAAATCAACCCCCCCTTTAACAAAAAGTACAATGTAAATATCAATATGGCCATCATCCAACACAACAGTACATATCAGTTCCACCTGATACTACCACTGTACCATGGTATTGTCACAAGAGCTCTAGATTTTTTTCAATAGGCTCCTTTAGTCAGTAGCCTTGCCTAATTGACCTGCCAATATTTTCCCAACACAAAAAAAGGACATTTCATTTTTAGCATTTATGCATTTTATGTGTCAGGGGAAAACATGTTCAAAGCACAAAGTACTAAAAATAATAAAACAACAAGAAAAATTCACAGTAATAGCTGGAAATACAACTATAAATATAACTCATGAATTCATGAACACTTTTGCTGGAATTCAATGGCATACGTTTTAGAACATTACCGGTTTGTTTGATGCTTCCTCTATTTATCTCAAGGCTTGCGGTTTCAACAAAACAGGCTGTTAAATGGATCGAAATTCTCTTGCACAAGGGTCATCCTTATTGTGAAGGTAGCTTTACGTAAGTATAAAATTCTCTTCTGATAACTGTAGTGGAGCGCAGTATGAACAGCTGCAGAGGCTTGCAGGTGTACGGCTGATGCCTTGACTTGTATAGTAAAGTGGACAAAAGTGCTTCATTTTTCACATTTTCTTTCTTTTGAACGGTCTTCCACGATCTTGTTCTCACCTCTCTCTGAACGCAGTGCAGACCTCCTGGAAAATCTCCCATGAGCTTTAATCTGACATTGTTCATTGTCTCATTTTGAATAAAGCCCTTGCTCAAGTTTTTTTTAGCAAATGCAGAATGAAAGCGGCACATCTGTCCCCAATATATAAATGATATTAAACCTCAAATAAGGTTCTCATCAACGCCTGACCTTATGTTACAGGTGACGATGGTATTCAGAGGGGGACATCTCAACTCTTTAAAAGGACATTCAGGGTCTCAATATAGCCGTAATTGCTTTGATCTAATGGAGCTTCTCAGGGTCAGTGGGTTGATTTTGCTGTTAGAGAGACTGTCCCAGAGCAGTATGCAGCACCACTGCTGCTCTCTAAAGTCCAGAGTGCAGCCCCAGCATTCACTCTCTAACTCGGCTAATTTCTCTTTAAACTAAATAACTCAAAGATGGCTCCAGCATCCCCACAACCCTACAAACAGTAGGACAGGCGGTTTGGAAAATAGATTTGTTAATGCATTAAATGTCATGAACTAATAATGAACTACATTTCTGAAGCATTTGTTGATGTTAATTTACAAACATATTAGTATTTATTGTTAGTTCATGTTCATTCATAATTAATTCACTTTGATGTACACTTGAAATGTTAGCACGTGAATTGTTGATGAATTGAAACTTATTGTAAAACCAAATCCTCAGTGATTGGCCACTAATGGAGGAACATTAATCTAACTATGTAACGGAGACAATAACTTTAAAGGCACAGTTTACCCAAAAATGAAAATTCTGTCCATTTTCTGTCAAACAACTTCCACTTCAAGAAAGAACGTTTGAGCTTTGCATGACCATATTTATTGTGCTCTGTGCATGCGCTTATATGTGAACAAAAGCCTAAAATAAATCTTTATGAACTTCTGAAGCATCTGTGTTTACTTAGAAATATCTGTGTATTCGTTTGTGTTTTAAAGATGAACAATGACATTTGAAATGACATGAGGATGAGCAAATGATGACAGAATTTTAATTTTTGGCTGAACTATCCATCTTATATGGATAAAACTATCTTTTAACAGAAAAGAGATGGACATTTGTAGCCTAGAGGTTTCTTTCTCTAATGAATAAAACAGGTAGGTTGTCATTGATGGCTGTGATTAAAGATCACTTTAGCTAACATATCTGTGAGCTTATCCTGAATTTAGAGTTAATTCTATTTGGAAAGCCAGGCAACGTGTCTGTTTTGCAATGCAGATAGCGTGGAGAGTGCAAATTAGACAAGAAAGGACTCTGAACTTTAAGGTGCACATGGACTGTGACTCATCATCATTTGGTTTGTCTTGCTCAATTTCCAAAAAAGAAAATCAGTATCAAACTGCATGACATTTCAATACCAATTTAAAAGGCCCCAGTCACATTCAAACATCTATAGACCAGAGGTCCCTCAACGCCCCACTCCTGGAGAGCTACTCCTCCTGCAGGTGTCCTGCCTGTCACTATCAAGTAACCCTGAAGACCCTGATGGCTGCTTCAGGTGTGTTTGATCGGGGTTGGACCTTAAATCTGCAGGACGGTAGATCTCCAGGAACAGGACTGGAGATGCTTGCTCGAGATTGTGTAACATCTATTAGAGCGTAAAATTCGAAATTCGAAAATTTAAAGGGGTCCTATTATTCTCTTTTACAAAGTCTTGATTTTGTTTTGGGGGTGTACTAGAACAGGCTCTCATACTAGGTTGTTCGAAAAACACATTATTTTTCACATATTTTACATTATTACAACACCTCTCTCCCCAGTCTGGCATGAACGGCTCGAATAGTTCCTGTATCAAATGAATGCCCTCCTTCTGAAATACGAAATGTGCTGTGATTGGCAGGGGCAGATTTAGTGAATTGGGGACCCCAGGCAAAATATAGGAATGGGGCCCTATACATGTGATGCTTGCTGCTGCACAATGGTGCCCCATAGTTGTGTCCAATGTTTCTACATTTTCATGTACATGTTATAATGGATTTATTTCATGTTAGGGGGGGGGGGCAAATGTCCAGTGAGAGCACAACGAATGGTTAA